AAGAGACAGCTCCCACCCTGTGGCCATGTGCAGGGTGTCCCCTTCAGGCATAACTGAACAGGTCCAATAAATGCCCTTGGTCACCATCACTTGCATCGCTTCCTGTGGCTTGGGGGTGCTCAGGGGAGCACATCCCTGCAGGGTGGAGAGTAGAGCGGGGGTCACTGGCATTTCTCCACAAGAAACATGGGGCAAGCAAGAGGTTTTAGGAGGCAGCCACAGTGGTTTCTGCCTCTTTTGGCGGGGACATGGCGTGGGCCACGTGCGACGGGGGGAAGCGGCAGTAGGGAAGTTGAAGCATGGGGGTGCTCCTTTCTGTCCCCAAGCATTTCCCAGCCTGCAAAATCCCCAGTGGGGCTGGCTATAAAGCAGCCCCCATGACAACTCAGGGCAGGCAGTGAGGATGCAGCTGCTGCCGGCAGCACTGGCCCTGGCCCTGCTCCTGAGCAACTTGGTGCCGGGAGATGGTGAGTGACCTTGGGGTGTCCATCCGTCTCCCCTCCAAATCCATAGGCAGAGGCACTGGGTGCCCCAAATGGGGATGAGCATGGGCTCCTCTAAGCTTTCAAATTTGCCTCTTGCCTATCTTTGAGCTTGAGTTGATCTTTTAAACCTGGTGGCTAAAATGGAGGGGGATGTCTGGGACCCGGGGGGGTGTGGGGTGTGGGGTGTTGCCTGGTGTGTTTAAGCTACTTCTTTTTCAAGCCCCCTGTGAAACTCAAGCACTTTGTGGGTGGGAGACAGATTTGATTCATAAAAGGTTGGTTATGTTTTCAAACCGTGAAGCTAAGCCTCCTCTGTATGCTTGAAAAGAAAGCTTTGATATTGTGGCAGGAGGGATTAGCCTTGTGTGTGACTTGCTGCTCTCACTGCTTGCTGCTGCAAACCCAATTAACCCAAATGCATCCCTGCAAACAGCCCTGTGGGCAGCAAGGAGGGGACAGCATGGTGGTACAGGGATGGCAGGGTGGGGGGTGTCCCTGTCTGCCTCTCCCACGGGAGGTCGGGACCTGGGTGTGGGCTGCTCTCGGGCGCAGGTCTGTCGCTGGAGAGCCTGCTGACCAACATGAGGTGCAAGTGCATCAAATCGACCGCCCAGGTCATCAACTTGGGGATGATCCTTGCCATCGATATTACGCCACCAGGTATTCACTGCAGGAGGAAGGAGATCATGTAAGTAGAAAATCTGCAAACCAATTCCTGCAAATTGCTTGTTCATCTACCAGTGCAAAAATACACGGGTGCTTGCACCCTCTCCAAAGCCCCCCGATCTGGCGGTGACTATTGCAAGGCACAGGCTGTTGCATGGGATGCTGCTGCCCATTTTAATGGGGGTTACCCTGGCATGGCTCATGGAGCTGAGGCCAAGGCCCAAAAAAATCCCATCTATCTCCTGGCAGGAGTTGCAGAGTTGTTCTCATAACCATGCCAGGAAGTGAAGGGGGGGTTTTCTCTGCAGTTGGCAGTGCAGTTAGAAAAACTTTGGGGGAGAGGTGTGTGTGCAGCTGAGGGGGTCTCGTCACCTTGCAGCCTCACCCTGAAGAAAAACAAGAAGGTGTGTGTGGCCCCTGAGGCACCCTGGATCCAGCTGCTCATCCACAAGCTGATGCAGAGGTACGCAACACCCAGCAACCAAAACCCAAGCAGCATAGCAAACGCGTTGGCAGGACGATCCCCTTCTCCTGACGGCTTTATTTTCATTTCTTTCCTCCCCCAAAATCCACAGGAATGTCACCAAAAAAGAAGTGGTGGCGCGGCCACGGCGGGAAGCGGAGCGGTGGGCTGGGGGAGCGGAGCGGTGGTGCTGACCCCCCGCCCCGTCTCTCCCTCTGTCTGGATACAAGAATAAATAACCAGCCATGGTTATTTATTCCTTTGCGGGGACAGCAGCGATATAACTCCTCCATGCTGAGATAGGTCGGGTTTTGTGGCACAATGCCAGTGCCTGCTCTGCTCCCAGGGTTTTTGGGAGGGGGAAGGAGCCTTCCACACTCCTCCTACAAAAAGGCTTTCCCTTCAGGCACCCAGCATCGTCCTCCATTTCAGGTGCCTGTGCTGTTCTTGCACATGATGGTAGCCTGTCCTGGGCGCCATCAATAAAAGGATGAATGTGTTTCTCCCACTCAGCTGTGGCAGGTCTTTCTAAATGGATTTGTGTAAAAACTGGGATTTTTGGGGTGGGGGAGTTAAGACTGGACCGTGGCACCATGAAGCCCTCAGCCTCTTTGCCACAGGGCACTTCCTAATGCGCCACCTTCCCTCTGCCCCAAGTTTTTGTGCCTTTTTCTGACGGCTCGTGGGAGGAGTGGTTGTGCTATGGGACACTGGTAGGAGATGGATGGAGTCTGACCTCTGCAGCCCCACCGTGCTGGCTCCCAGTTGTGTAAGCCACAGGAGAAATGGGAGATACGGGGACATTTCCCAGGGACTAGTTGAGGCTGTCTCTGTGGACCCCCATTTTCCTGGGATGGATGCACATGTCCCACAGGGACCCTGTCATGGCACAGGGCCGTCCCTTGGCCACATGGATTGAGGCAATGCAGTGTGACTTGCGACACTGAACAAAGTTATCACTGTTTAAAAAAACTTAATTTGTCTTGACCATGCTGGTAGTAGGTGTCTGAGGTCTGGGGACCTCTCCAAAAGGGTAGGAACCAGATTTGCGTCACCCACCTCACCACCCTGGATGCCAAAAGCATATTCCAGAGCAGTGTGAAGCTGTGAAACACTTGGCCGGTCCCCATATCCCCCCGCTTCCCACCCTGTGCTTCTCAGGAACCACAGCAGGGGACAAGAGTGGTTGCCAAAGGGCTGTTTATTGCCTACAGAAGGAAATAAAAATACACAGGTGGGAAGAAACAAGCAGATATTAGCCCTATCCATCACATGTGAGCAGTACCCCACCTCCACAGTGGGGGGTGGGGGGTGTGTTTAGATAAAAAAAAAAAAAAATTAAAAGGGAAGAAAAAAATAACAGTTCAGGGTTTTGAGGACCTCCCTTTCCTGAGCTGCCCTAAGGTTAAAGAAAAGCAGAGCTGCTTAGTTCAGCCATCATCGTCATTTTGTCCAGGCTGGGTCTGTGAAGGGGAGCCTGGGTCCTTGCTGTCCCCACCCAATGGAAATTTGCTTTCTTGGTTAAGTTTTTCATTGCAGAGTATAATAATGGGGGGAACTGCACCGTGGAGTGGCACTTTTTCCAAAACATGAGTTCATTCAGAGGGAGAAAAAAAAGGATCCTTTTGTAAAACCAAAGGAGAGAAGGTTTCTTGCTATTTATTCTTGCAGAAAACATGGAGTAAGCAAGTTACTCTGTTTTTTTGCTCAGGTCTAAGCTGAAGGCTGCAGTGTTGGCATTGCCTAGGATTGGTGTCAAATTTTGTAAAGCTTTTTGCCTGTGAGACCTACCCCATCCCTGTGTCAGGGCTGGGGGCAAAGGCAGCCTCCCAGGGTCCCCCCAGGTGCTGCACAACTGCCCCAGGGCAGGTGAGGCAAAACCAGGACCGTGGGACGGCAGCAGCTCTGGCCTCTGCAAGCAGCAACCTCCCCATCCAAGAGCCTGGTGCATTCTCGATTTAAACTGAAGCTACCATTTCAATAAAATAAGATGTAAACCCCGCTAAAATTTTTGTGTAAGCATGCCCGGGAGTGACACTTGAAGCTTCCCCTGCTCTCTGCACGCACTTCCATCTTTTGAGGGACAGGACCTTGTGGTTGCAAAGACAACACACAAGAAAGAAATCCAATTAAAAAAACCCCCACCTCCCAAAATAACCACTGTGAAACAGGACGGAAGGGGAAGCCTGGGCTCCCATCACCGCTGCTCCAGTTCAGTCTGAGTTTATGAATTAAGGGTATATTTAGCTAACATGGTGCACACAAACACTTTTAATTGCTCAGAAAGCAAACACACGATGCAGTAATTAAAAATGGAAAAACAAAGCCAAAGTCATGTAACACGTCACTTGTAAAGAAAGCCACCATGAGTTGTTTGTTTGTTTGTTGTTTTGTTTTTGTTGGTTGTGTTTTTTTTTTTTGCTTCAGAACAAATACAAATACAGACAAATGCAAGCTCGGTAAATGCCTGAATTGTAGGAACTGTTTAACAAAGAGGACAAGACCAAGTACCAGGATCACTCTAACCTTCACCACTCAAATGGTGAGTGATTTTGCAGGCTAAACATACCATACAACTGGGGATGGGGGGGGGGAGAGAGAGAGTCATATCACTTGGCATGCTTTGCCACCAATGCTCTTGAAAACACCCTGAAGTATCAGAGCATCCGAGCATTTCTCTATCTTCACACTTATTTTCAGATATACTCCAAGAAACTATACTCCTGAAGTCTGTCATCCTTAAACATAGCCAAACGATCAAACTTTAGCATCTCTTAATACCTTTCATAGTCAAATAATTTTTCTTAGGATGAAGGTGTTCTTTAAAGGTGTTAATGTTCATTTTCTGATCATGCCATGTGCCTGCCTCATCCACTGTTTTCTGTCCCTGCTCTCATTTCCTGGAGGAAAAGCATATCCGTGGTCGGTGTCAGTGCAAAGAGTGGTCACAGGAGAAGATAGTGTATCATTTACAGTTGTGCCTGGATCTAGAGCCTTATAATCAATCTCCTTTTAAAATAGTTTTTAATCTTAAAGTGAGTTCTTGGTGATGCTTGGCATAGAGACTTCAGAAATGATGGTTTCCACCAGGTTCTCCTGGGGTTTGCATCACCTTTGAACACTGAAGTGGCAGAAAGGGAGGGTACATGACTGTACTTCTGTAATCTTAGAGAAAACAGATGAGCTGCATATTACAAGATGCTTTTCCTCAGTATGAGATAGACACACTCAGCTAATAGTAGCATCTATCAGAAAAAATAACGTTTCTGCATTTAGGGCTCATTTCTTTTCCAGTCTCTAACAAATCAGGTCCTCTGCCCCCCTGGGTAAAACCTCTCCAAGACCAAGCACTTAATCTCCTTCTGGAAAATGCAAAATCAGGCATGCAAGGTTTTTCAATGCGTGTGCTTAGTGCCAAAACCATACCAATTCTGAAGCCGAAATGAACTTCAGTGAATCTTGTATGCTGCTTCGCTTCCTACCAGGCAGTTTTGGTTGGAAGATCAACCCAGGAGAACATCAGACCTCAGTGGTGACCAAGCAGGACACTGACCTGCTGCTCTTTTTTTATACTGACAGCCCAATTTTAGCTGAACCATCTCCTGCTGCCGCCTAGTATACCAGCGTGCCAGATAAGGATGTGCTTAGATCAGTCATCTCCCCATACAGCGGGGAGAGACATCCCTCCTTAGGTTTAAATTGGGCCTTAGATCTTCATTACCATTACAAGAAAAATATCTGTGCAGCAGCTAGGAACAGAGGAATTGTAATTATGTACAAAGCTGAGGTCGCTGGGTAGAGGACAATTGCTATTTGCAATTAAACTGTCTTTTAAACCAGTACGAGGGTGCGTATCACATTTGTGTGATGTTTCTAGTGCAGGCTATTGATTTGGCTTGGATGGGACTAAAAGATCTTTCACTCCCCCCTGCTATGCCAAGTTTCATGCCAAAGGAAGGTTTTGATGCTAGAAGCTGCAAATGCGTCATGGAAATGAAGTAACTGCTGCTGTGTTGCTGAGTTTAAACTTGGTCTACAGATAGTAAGGACCAGCAGCCACTTCTGGCTCTTGCTCCCTTCCAAGAAGGCATGAATACTGCACTCCTGGTCTAGGAATCCTTAAAGTGTTTCCCAACACTGTCTTCTAACAAAAAACCTCTGAATTTCAACAAGCCTCTTCAGCTTCCCTCTCGCTACCTGACCAAAACCAACCCCAGAGAAAAAAGTGATATGAACCTTTGAGGTCTCAAATTCTCTCATGCAATTTGGACCCGATGTCTTACAAGCTGGGTGTGGAAAGCCAGTCTCCAAAAGCCCAGAATTCAGGATTAAGTGGGAGCTGCAGATGCTCAGCACCTTTGTAAAGTGGGCCTCAGGAGCTTGAACATGGATTTAGGAGTCTCTACAGTAAAGCCAGCAAGGTGGGAGACCATTAGCCATCTGCAGCATTACCCAAATGTTGAACATCATGGAACAGTTTTGAAAGCTGTGTTTGCTAGGTCAGTGGCAAGTGCTTCCGAAGAGCTTCAGAGTCAAAGATTCTGTATTTCTAGTCTATAAAACACAGAACAGCGAGGACCTGGGACTAACAAGACCTTTTCTGAATGCTTCTGCAGACTAAACAGGAGTGGCTTCCAACAGACAGAGAAAACTTACTGATAAAATTAAGTATTTTCTCAACGAATGTTAGAAAGGGATGACAAAAGCTTTTAACAAGGCAAATGGGAAGGAAAGCTGGTCTCGGACCCCATTATGCCATACCTGACTTCAGCGTGTGGTACACAAATATTCACGCTCCTTACATCGAAATAAGGAAACAAAAATATTCAGCTACATTGTACAAAATTCTCTCTTTTTTTTATATATATATACACACACACACACAAAACCCCGTATCTAACAGATTTACCATATTGAATTTTAAAAAGTTGCTTGTAGAAGGGTGTTGGATTTTTTTTCTCTGCTTGCTTTAGGCAGTGCTTTTGCTTAGAAGTTGACACCAGGCACCATATTTTTGAAAGCAAACCAAGACAGTGAGGAGCAGTAACGGGCTTAGAGCTTTTTTCCAGGCGTCAGCCGCGAGGGCACTGCGACGTGCTGGGAACCGAGGTTCAGTAATGGAGATAACTGGTGGTTTCCCATCCACCTCTGCTTCGAGTTAGGGATATTTTGCTTCATATTACTCCCTCTCCCCTAGAAAACACTCTACCATCAGCTTCCATCTGGGTCAAAAGAAAATTAGCATTGCCATCTGGATGATGCATATGTTTATCGAAAGGGATCTCGTCCCTCGCACGAGGCTGGCGGCTGACTGCTCCCTGCTCCCTCTTTTCCGAGAGCAGAAAATCACTACAGAGACCAGCATTTCTGCTCAGCTGGGAAAAAAGCGCAATCCCCTTACTGCTCCTGATGGGAAGGAAAAAGAACCAGAAGGAAAACAGGGAGGGCACCAGACACATGAAAGGCAGGTAAACGTGTCCCCAGTTATGTGCATTGACAGAAACATAAACAAGATGCTTTTTTAAAAAAAAAAATCCAGAGGTTTTGTGCAACATCTGTTAAAATAACTTTTTTTAAAAATCGCACAGCGTAATGGACGTTCAGAAGTGCATTTCGCAGCAGAGAAAATCCAATTAAACACCTTCCTGCAACAGAACACTTCAATCAATTAGAAACGAAAGGAAAGTTAAACTTAAGCAGTTTACAATGTTTGTCAGGGTTTTGTTTTTCACCCCCATCCTCTCCCACCCCAATATTACAAAACATTGTTGTTGGTTTTTATTTTTATTAATAAACGGGCTCCTCTGCAGTTCATATACAATCATAGGTGAATTTTAAATTCCATTTTATACAAACATCTCAAAAAATATTGGGAGTGAAGTATGGTAGGAAATACTGCTCACGTTGCTAGTTAACATGCGTGTAGGAAAAGGAGGAGAAGGGTTAGTTAGTGCACACCTCCAGAGCAGAGCACCCTCCCCTCCAAAAAAGATACAGTAGCTGATTACAGAAAGGTAATGTCCACAAAATTAAGTTTTTCATGCTATTCTACTTTCCAGTACTATACTCTCAAATCGCTTCTGCAATTTATCTGCAATAGCTAGGTGGCGAATGCTGAGGTATATTAAAAAAGAGATACCTGCACCTAGAGGAAAATCCATCTTTAGAAAGGGCTTCTTTTTGGTGCTGCACAAAGCAATTGCTGTACAGGAATTTCACCCAGCTACAAGCACTTCCAATTTATAGTCGACAATAAATGACGCCTCCATTTTTTAGGCACTTCTTTTAAAAGGGAGTTGTCGTTTCATTGAATCGATTTTTGCGTTCTGTCCCACACCACCCCCTCCCCGGCCCCCAACAACAGTCAGGGAATAGTTTCTACTCTAGGTCCAATTGAATTTTTTTCCCCTATGGATAATTTCCTATGTATAAAACGACAAAGGAAATATTTAATTAAAGAGTGGAGGAACAGCCTGACTTAGCAGTTTTGCAAGACAGAAGATGGCTCCTTAGTATTTAAAACTAATTTCACAATTTAAATTTGACTTAATTTTAAGTATACGAATGAGACATAAATATAGGCTATCAATCTGTTTAAAAATTTCATTCACATAATGGAAAATTTTTTCATTTATTAAAAATATCACATTTTGAGACTAGAAACAGTAAAGTGCATGAAAAGTTTAAAATATAAATTCAAGAAAATCTTATAGCAGCAAAAAAGCAGAATAAAGAAAAACTTAAAAACACAGACACAACCTTTTCCTATCACTGTGCCATTTTTTTTCTTAAAACATTAAGCAGCCAACCAATTTTTCAGAAAATTGCATTATGTTTAATGCCTCTTGAGGCACAAGGTTTTGAACTGGCCACCTAGAGCATAAAAAGGAAAAAAAAAAAAAGGATTTCCAACACATCCAAAGAGCATTAACAGTTGGGAATGAACCAGCAGCTTTTTAATTCAACCCTGACCAACAACAGAAAAGATTATTAAAAAAGTGTGATGGCTATTTGGCAACTAGGGTCAGGAAAAATAATCCAAGGAATGACTATAGCTACCGCTTGCTCCCTCAAAGAAAAAAGCATGCCAACAGCTACTCCACGTGCCCTTTGGAGACAGAAGTAAGGTCATTTCCAGCAGCTTTTTCCTGTACCCTACGTTTAAGCAGTTAATCCCAAATTTCCCATCTTTGCAACCAAACTTCAGAAAAGGATTTGCAACTTCTTTATTCACCCAGAACCCAAATGCTTGCAATGGCTTGCTTCAAGTGCAATTTCTTATCATATCTAAGTCTTGCTCCCAAACTGTGCTGCTGAATAGCGTGTCACCCTGGCTTGCTGAAGCAAAGAGGCAGCTCTGTTTCACAGAGGTCCTTTGGATCCCTGTGAATCTCACTCAGAAAGGGCTCAGTTCTTCAGAGCTCCAAAAAAAAAAGTCACCATGGCGTCTGCCAAGCAAGCGATCTACATACAGCATTAAATGCTCACCTGCAAAGTCTCATGAGACGCAGTTTCGCTGGAAATTTTGTTGTCAATGAAATTACATCAGGAGAATTTAGACCTCATATTTTATCACAGATATTAAGCCATCTTTGGTTTTCTAATATTAGTTAGCTGAGGGGCAGGGCCACACTGCTAATCATTTATAGTCAGGTATTAAGTGCTTCGCTGATGTGCAAAATTTATTTCCGATGCAGAGTTCAGTCTACATTTTGGGTTCAAACAAACAGTATTTCTAATATTCTTCCTACAAAACAAGCATTCCTATTTTTGTTTTTCTTTCTCCTAAAAGGTTGGCTCATTTCACCATGTTCTGGAAAAAAGCATTATCTCAAAATATGTTAACAAGCAAGTTTTTAATCTCATTTGTCCATTTATAAGTGCAGCTTCCTACTGAAAAGAAAAAGCTTGCCAGTTTAAAAAAAAGTTATTAAATTAAAAACTTGGAAAGGGAATAATACTTTGGTTCCAGCCCTAGTGCCAAATGATACCAATATGCACCAAAATGTGCAAAATCTCATATCAAACACATAAGGAAAGGAGCTTGAAGAAGCAGCTTAAGGTTGGCCATACTTCACTCCTATATACTTTGATTTACAACTGTACAGGTCCATAACAACAGGTCCTTGCCCTCAAAGGGGCAGAGCTCCACTACCTCCTGTTAGGCAAATGCACACCGTTGACAAGAGGCAGGAGCGGAGGATGGAGTTCTAGTTGTGTTAACAGTGAGAAGTGGTCTGAAGGGATGTGAGGGTGTGGACACCCAGTGATGTTGTTGTCAACCAGCCACTGAGGGTCCAAAGGCCCCAGGACACCAAGCACGTTCATATGAGTGTTGGAATAGAAAATGTAGTCAATCACACCCTAGGGAGAAAGAGAAACACGACAGTGAGAACAGATCTTGCTTCTGGCAACCTGAACTCGACTGGCTTCTGGCTGCAATTCACGGGAAGAGGCACAGCACTGAAATTAGGGTAAGAAACGCACGCGGCGTTCTGCGTTCAAAGCGCTGCATCAGTTCTCATTATGTCACTGGCCAGAACCAGGTCGGAAGCTTAAAAATGCCAGCAAATCAAGGATTTGTGCACGGTAGGAAAAGTGTCCAGCGAGTGTAGGAACCAGTGATGAAGCACTTACAGGAACAGAGGGAAAGACAGCCAATGGTCAGAAAATTAAGACAGCATCCTGGGGAGACCAGGTCAATGTCTGCCATTTCAGAAAAATCGCTGCTTACTTTGAAATCAAAAGTGTAATTGGTGTAAGGCATCAAGTTGTTTTCGTAGGCGCTCTTGAGTTGGAAGCCATGTGTAATTCTTCCTTCAGAAGCCCCGTTTTTTCCATTGCCACTGAAGTTCATGAGACACTCGTTATAACGCAACTCCTTGAAGTCCTTGTGGTTGTCAGCTACTATGCCATTGCTTAAATATTCCACTACACCTGTTTGCAAAGGAAAGGATTCAGGGAGTTGCTTTAAAATACAAAATTCAGGGAATGTTGGCCTTGGAGTAAAAAACCAAAACATCAACAGGACACACCATGAGATCAGAGAAGAGCTTTCCATCTAAGGGCAAATCTACACAGCAGCTGTCTTGTCCGTGTCTGAGCTGTACACACCTTTCTGACACGCGGCCAGGGAACTGAGGGTCTCCAGGGGTTTTGACACCATTTTTTGAGGATTACAGTAAACCCATAGTATATGTACTGTAGTACGCACGTGACAGGGTGCTAAAGAGGCAGCTTTTGTACATATACCTGATATTACAGTCTCGAACATCACAATTACTAAGCAAACACATCTCCTTAGCAAGTTTTCATGTCCCATCACGAATTCACATCTTTCCTACTTATTATTGCTGATCGAGGCATGGGTATTTATTCAATGATTTATTTAAGATCTGTTTGTGCTTTTCTACATCTTTGTAAGCACAGCTAACTTTCCTGGAGCATACAGGATCCCGAAAAGCAGTTTACTCAACTGGAGGCCTTGCATTCTCTTCAGCCAGATTTTGCAAGACAGCCGTTACTAAGAAAGCTTTCACCTGTACCTACCCAGTGAAGTGCAAACTGTCCCATTGCCCTCAGAGGATCCAAAAAGAGGATTCAAACGTTTTAAAAAGGTAAGTTGAAAAGCCAAAACCAGTCTTACCTGAATCAGGCAATGAGTTGAGATCCGCACACAGCACCAGAGGGATAGAGTTAGGATCTGCTGTTGGGCTACCAGGCCTGCTTGAGGCTTTCTCAAGGATATTTTTCAGTTCCGAGACAAACATCATAGTCTGAATGAGTTTCACATCTGAGTATTCGGGGTCCCAGTGCATGTGGGCATTGGCCACAATAAGCAGCTGTTTGTCCACATGAAGCGATTTCATACCTGGATAAACAAATGCATTTGTGTCAGCGAAAGGCTGACTGTGTGAACATAGCAGATTCACACCTGTTAACATACAGAGTCTAGCTACTAAGGACTCCAAGTCAGACACACCAGCAGATGGATGTACTTTTGTTGCTGGAAAAAAGGCATTACCTGAACCACTACTCCTTTCTAAATCAGCAGTATTTACATAATATTATGTGACTAAATCTCTCCAGTATAGGAAAGAAATAGCCAGCATAATCTGATACCACTACAATTGTTTTCCTTCTCTACTGCTCAAGTGGTCATCACTTGACTGTGCACCACTGTTCAGTATTTAAGGCGCAAGGGAGTTTCCTGACTCTTAGCTGCCATGGTACAGCCAATTGTTCCCTTGGGAAAAACTTGAACCTGCTGAAATGAATACAGTATGAACCTGGCTGCCGCAAAATGCTGTAGCTGCCTTTAGTATTTATCTGAAAAACATAAAGTCACAGGCAGCTCCTTCTACTTCTGCAGTTTAGACATTTTGCTCCTTTGAAGGGTACACTGGCAACAAGCAATCGAAAAACCAGACACGCAGACAGAGCACGGTGGCAATTTTAAGTATGTTGAAATTGTCTACTGCATCTGATCAAACTTAATGAAAATGTGACAGTCAGTCAATCAAGTGGCATGAAAAGATACCTGATAATCTCATTCTTCCACATCAGTACATTAGCACTGCCATATAATCACTGGGGGAGGATGGAAGGATTCAATCAAGGGGAAAAAAAAGAGAGTTGAAAATAGAAGTTGAACATTACCGACAACCATTGGTAAGAGCATATGCATGTAAACATACTGACCTTGGAAAAGCTTCATTTTTCAAGTAGAATTTAACAGAGTTAAGTAAGCAGGGACAAAGTCTTGAAAGGAGAAAGCTAAATGTTGGGCATCTGGCTGCAAGTACAACCAGACCAGTAAATCATGTCATCTGTGTCCTGTCTCAGCCACCACTGGGCTATCATTTCTCAAATTAGCACAGTGAACAGCATTTTGCTCATCTGTGAGCATTCGTTTACCACCACCAATGGCAATAATATTCTAGAGAGCCGTATTAACTAGGAATAACTCATGCCTTTGCGTGGAACTGAATAATCAATGAGAGAACCACAGTCATACTCACTTGCTCCAAATAATTCTTTGTGCACCTCTAACACCACAGCAACTCCGATGTTGTCCTTCGTCATCACTCTGTTTAACATAGCTTCGGAACCTTCAGAGTTAGCCATTGCTACCTGGTTGAACTCCACTGTATGCTTCTGCACCAGCGTAAATCTGATTAAACAAAGAGAATCGCGTGTGAACACGTGACAAAGAGCTACATGAAAAGACATAGTTTTTATCTCCACTCCAGTCTACCATGTCCAAGGACAGAGCTTGAAGGACAGGGTCAGGCATGTTTCTTTTGTCCTCTTGTTTTATAAAAGTAAAAACAGTTCTAAGAAATACTCCCCCAGTTAGGATAGAGCTCTCAGTCTGGCAAGTGAGATACTCTCAGGGGAGACAAGACATGTGGGGTTGAGGAAATGTTTACTTGTTCAACACAGCACTCTGAGAGGACTATTCAGAGCAACACTCAGAGGTTATCACACCTCCTCAGGAGTGTTCTGGGCAAAAAACTAAGATGAGACGGTAATTAAAGGCTTGCCTTTTACTTGGGGCATATGTATTATTAAAAACAATTTATTTCAAACCACTAGCTACCACCATTAGTTTTGTGAAATTGGTTTTTCATTCCTTTCCAGCCTTAGGATGGCCAAAAACATCTTGCTTAAGGACAAGGCTACCTATTGAAAGGCGTTTTTTTGTTTTGTGCTCTCAGAAAATGTAGAAGTATTATTAGTCTCCTATTTTCACCTGTGAGAGCCACAGCATAATAACCAGCTCTCTATATACCCTTGTTAGTTTCAAGGTTTGAAAACCATCAGTTTCTTGTTTTCCCAGACTTCCTCTATTTAAAACCAGTCCAGTTGTTTTTATACATGATATGAAAGACATATTTTTGTTTCTGGAAGCAGTGAAAAATCTGAAAGGGAGCTAAGGCTTTGTGAAACGTCCACTCTGATTTCTGAAAACTGTTCCGAAGAATACTCGGAGTGGTACAACCTGTGAGCAGTTTACACAGATGAGAAGTGCGAAAGCCAGCACCTCTCCTCCCTTCCCAATAGTTTGATACTTCTAGTGTAGCAGAACTGTTTGGATCAAGCATTCAATAATGTAATGTTTTGATTCATAGAAACAGATAATATTTTGTGATCCTCTGGCAGCAATACATCTTTTAATACCTGAATATTAAGCCAGCAGTTAATAGCTCTTTAATCTTAGAGGAGTAAAACTTCTGTCAAGCAAGGCAAAAGTTTGTAGAGAAGGTAAGTTATTCATTAGATCTGCCAGAAAATGCACACACAAATCACCTAAGTTTTTACTCATACTAGCTCTCCTGCAACTTCCATGTTTCTGAAGACACCTTTCTTCATAGTCTGAAAGGAATGGACGGACTCTGTTGCAAATAGAGCAGCAAAAGGGAAGGGAGGATCATTCTTTGCAGTGAACTTTATCTTTTGCTTTATAGCACAGTACTTTGGTTACCACGCACCCTGAGAGAGGAAAGCTTTCAGACCTAAATCAAGGTGGTTTTAATGTATTTTTAGAAAGTTGCTTCTGCCCCTTACTTTTCAGTTTTGAAGAATATTGCACAGCCATCCACATGCTTTTTCTCCTGCTCAGACATGATTTTGGCACGTGACTTTGGAGAAAAGAATCCATCATATCCTCGTTCTTTCAAGGCTGGCAGAAAAAGGGTGAAGTATTGCTCTGTTTCCACTTCCTGGAATTGAACACAAATACCTTACACTAACAAAGTCAAGTAAACCTTTCTTATTGCTGTATGCCAACTTGGGCCTGTCTTGGATTGTAGTCAGCAGCTCTCACCAAAGTGAAAAGCTTCTGTTTGAACAGATCATGTCGCTTCCAAGATTAATGGCCTGTTGGAAACAGATTTGCATTCCTGGATATCCTGGAATCCCCCCAAAAGGGAAAGTGACAGGTGTATTTTGAACACCAATAGATTACACCCGATATTTTTGACATCTGAATGTGGCTAACCTCCTAGGTTAAAACTGAGAGGCCAACAGATACCCAGCAGCAATCAATATTTAATCTGGAGAGCTCTTTTGCACAACAGTCTCTTGCTGTTCGGTAACAGTACATTTTCATTGTAGTAACATTTGGTCTCCATTGGGATTTCAGAGGTTGATCTCTTGAGGTTTTCAGACCAAGGCAACTACTCTCTTCTTGTGTGGGATTTTTGCTTACCAGAACTTGCTTAAAAAATGAAAGATCAGTTTAAAGGCAGAAGGGTTCAAGTGTTCTAATCAACAATAAACTTCTAATAACACAGAAGGATACACATACAAATGACACTTGGCATTTAACTTTGACCATGAGAGGCCCCTTGTTTGTCAGTGAGAGTATTTTTGAGACTTTAACCTCTGTACCAAGCAGGAATGCACTAGGAACAGTGGCATTTAGGGATACAGCATTCTACATTCTCCCCTCCTGCAGTAAACACCACACACCCAGAAGGAGAATATTTAGGATGCTTATCTGAGGGGAGAAAGACCCAGATCTTCCAGTGCAAATTACCTACTAGTTTAGCTAATTTTATCTCACTTTGTCTGATTTCATAAAACACAAATCAATGCATAAGCAAGGAGCTGTGCACACACCTGGTATGAGTAAGCCCCAGAATTTCTTAAAAAGCAGGCAAATATGTTGTTCTCAAGAGAGGATTTCATTCTAAAGGTGGAAGTTAATGTTTTCTGTTTCTGATGAAAAATACAGTTATTTTCCAATTACCTGAAGACTAATGATGTCTGCATCACAGTTGACAATTTCTTCCATGATTCCCTTTTTTCTATACTCCCAATTGAGTGCCCAAGATGGGCAGTACCCATAGAGCTGCCGGGTGGCATATTTATCACACAACACATTGTAACACATAACTGTGAATGAAGCTGAAAGGAAAGAAAGAAAGGGAAAGGTTACCAACCTCTGAGGATTACAAATGCTGAACTTATTCAAGCCAAAATACTGAATCTTACATGGTCTATTCTGGAGGGCCTACTGAACACAAACTAGTGGGCTTATTCCACTGAGTGTTTCATGAACAGGAGTAAAAAAGGCCCTGCTGAGCCAGCAGTTACCACTTAAGGCTAAACTCTTCCTGAAAAAAAAAATCAGCATTACTACCAAATTGAGAGGGTGTCACGTGCATAACGAAGCAATGCAATCCCATTTTGCAGCCAATTCTTTATTTCTTTTGGGGATGGGGGAGATCTAGGGGTTGGCAACAATTAGGAACAGTCTCTTTCTTTGGTAAGGAGAGGGAAAGGAGCAGCCATTTCAGTGCTGGAGTCAAAACCCAGTACTTATTGCATGGGGTGCCGCGAGAAAGCAACTTCAGGCTTAAGTGACCTGTACAGTAAAGCAAAAGCAAAATCAAGCTGCTTAAGAAGCTGTTACTATGTCATGATACCACAGCATTAGACAGAAATGCTGTTTTAGAATGTTACAGTTTCAGGCAGTCTCATTCCAAAACATTCATACAGTTCTCCTAGCACCTGTACAATATTTCTAAATTTTATCAAGTTGTATCTGTGTCTATCAAGTCTAAGGACAAGAAAGAGGTCTGAATGAGGGCAGGGAAGAGAAGAAGAAATGAAGTAATAAATTCACAAGCACCTAATCCAGTATTTGGTCCCATTTAAAAAAAAAAAAAAAAAAAGGAAAAAAAAAAAAAAAAAAAGGTAAGTCAGCCTGAAGTTCATCAGATCATTCAACTTGAAACACTCTTCTTTCACACACAAACTTCTTAGTTCCCTTAGATTTTACACCAAGACAAAAAGATAGGTAAATGCAGTATCTTAGCACCATGCCACTGGAAAAGACTGCTGATATTTGCAGGGAAAGAAGTGAGGTTTTACTGCGATGCTACCCCACAGCTGTGGTTTTTTATACACATAGTCAAAGAAGATTTCTGCCATTCACTTGTTTCAATTTAATAAAAACCGACTGGTTTGTTACAGTTTTTATCACCAGCCTAACGCTGTGCTTTCTAATGACTTCTGAATTATGTTTCTTCTCAGGAAGTTTGATTTAAAAAATAAAACTAAAGTCAGTAAAACTCCACTGAGATACTGATTTATAGGGGAATTTGAAACAGAAATGCAGAACTTAATGTTGTGGTGGATTACAGGACTTTGGGCATTTTCCATTTCTTCCTATTTCTGGTTTGTTGTTCTTTAATATAAAAAAAGTGACAGATGATCTTAACTGCAACATTAGCCTGCCTAACACATGACTGAGTTAAGTTTTGAAGACCTGATATCTTCACACTTCTGAAAAGAAAATGTGCAGAGGACTGGCACATTATTCTTGCTGGTTATTAAACTGATCTTCTGCAATATTAGCATTTTTCTTCTTTACACGGGCTCACAGATGCTTTTTGAGGACTATATTCAGGATGTGCAGGGTAAGAAGAGCCAGCGGATTTGGACAGCCTGAAGAAATGCTGCCTCTTGCACTTTACCAAAAGCAACAATAGAGGGCATTAAACTAACTTCAGTACAAGGCACTCCACGTGTTCACTTGCAGATAGGGACTTCTCAAAGTCTCACTTCAGTCAGCCTGTGTGTGGACACGGCATTTGCGTACAGTTATTTTACAGTTATTATTTCTGAGAAACAATTTTTTTTTTTTTAAAAAAAAAAAGCTCTTTTGCTTGGGCATCAGTGAAATCAGGGAATCAGTTATGAAAAAGCCTGAAAGAAATGACCGGCACCCCATCCAAATTACAAAAATGGTATTTGCAACACAACCACATGTTAATAGTTTTAGTACAAATTAACACAAATTGCTATTTTCAATCTGATGCATGTAAAGCAGAAGACTTCTCTGAAAATAAAGTCGAAGTGCATCACTCTCTGAACACAGGGAAAAGAACCACAGATTTACCTGAGGGCAGAATTTGGTCTCGTTCTTTTAAAGTAATCCATGGCCTTGGAGGCAGCTGCTCTGGATGAACTAAAAAAAATTTTAAACAGTGATTAATTCAGGGTTTATATTGGTAAAGAACCATTTCTAAGTCAAAATGATGACTGAACAATGTTCTACACTGTGCTTTGCAACTCCAACTCCCCAAGTCTTTTTACACTCCAGAGGAGGCAAAAATCATTTAAATGGCTAGCTACAGCAAGAGGAAATTTGTCAGTTGTAAGATTCACAATTAATTTTGTCTCTTGCTTTCAAATCTGGAAGCACCAGCAAAATGCTCCTGAACCTTAAATATACTGCTGAAGTAGGAGGGTTAAATCCTGTAGTGGTTCAGACATTCTATACTCCCCTTCTCCAAGAACCTCAACCTATAGCCATCATTCCTGAAATGTTTTAACTTAGTAGACATCAAGTGGCAAAACAGGAAGCTTAGTTACAGAACCACAAAGCAGTATTTAAGTCACGTACTGGATATTCTTAATCACTTTGGTATTCCTAGATCTAAATTTGACAGTCTGCTTGCATTGGTATTATAATTTCTAGTGGACAGTATCAAAATGGCTTCAGCAAGAAAGACTTTGCACTTAATTGTTAACTGTTAATTTCAAACAGAACAGTGGAAATAACTGGCTGTACATAGTAACCTGGGAAAAGCTTAAACAACACACGTCAACCTTTTCCACTGTGTCCAAGTGTGTGTTTGCATGTATGACTGGAACCATTTGACAAAAATGCCAAAGAGTTACAAAATACTCTCCCTTCACTGGTTCAGATTCTTGTTTTAGCAGCAAATACTGTCAGAAATGCATGCTTTTAAACCACTTCTGTCAATCAGATTTGTAGGACTGTCACCTGCTAGATTGTCAAGCATGTAGTTCAGTAGCTTTCGAGTTCCATCTGGATCCTGGTAGAGGCTGAGAATATCTTGTGATAAAGGATTGCCTGCCAACAGCATAAAACAACAACTGGGTGATTAGCTTCCTGACTTTCTTGAGGCCTTCCAACCAAAGAAAATCTCCCATAATGAGATCAGAAAAATTGACCCAGAAGATATTTAGGTTACTTAACTTGGAACTGTAGAATAGCTAGTACACATAGACTTTCTTCCTTTGACTGACCTCAATCAATAATATGGTAGGTTAAAGGGTTTATTTATCTATCTACAGATTTGAAATAGGCTCACAAGGAAGTTTAACAGCATTAAAAAAGAAAAGCATTATTTTCCAAACTGTCTGATCATTTTTGTAACAAGCTTAGTATCTCACATAGACAAGAAAATGTTGAAGTAATACACAAAGCTTCTGAGCCCAGTCCCATCAGTAATTCAAGAGTACGCCTAGGAAAATTTAACTGTAAAGAACGAACTCACCTTTCAAACCTAGGGTTTGTAGCTGGAAGAGCCGTCCAAGTTCATAAGGCAAAACCCGTAACAGATTGTTATTTAAAAGCAATTCCCTGCAGCAAATGCAAAAACACTTCTGATGAATATTACTTCAGAAGAAAACTCATCTTCAAAGATGACACTTTTTACCCTGAATTTTTTGTATTATGGAAAGATATGCCAACCCTCCCATTTCAAAGCATGACCAAAATACTTTCATTAGGAAAAAAAAAGCTACAAAACCCCCAAAACGTAGAATTAAATCAGGGAGAATTTAAACAGCAGGCAATCACCGAGTCTCAAAGAATGTTTCAGAGCAGATGACTACATATCTTGAAGACATGTATCTTAGAGATCAGAAAAGAAGGGTAATGAACCCAGAAGTAATCATTAGAACTGAAGTTTTGCACCAATCTTGAATTTTTCAGAATTATTTTAAATACAAGAATGGAAAGCAAAATAAAATTCTCAGTTCCAATGCCAGAATACAGATTTTTGAAAAATTAACTAGAATAATTTCTCTCACCTGAGAGATACCATGTTTCCTAGTTCTGCTGGTAAACTTCTGAGTTTGTTGGATGACAGATCCAGGTAAACCAGATTATGAAGCTTGGCAATATCAGGTGGAATGCGAGTAAGATTATTGTCATTGAGGTGCAGAGCAGTCAAGTGTGTCAATGACCAAAGTGACGTACTTAAACTCCGCACTCTACCTAAAAAAGAAAAGCAAAGAACCATCTCTTTATTCTTGCACTCTCAAACCACCAAATGCAGATTATGGGAAGATGTCAGAATATGGGATTTCCAGTGTGGAAACCCTACCAATTCACTGGAATGCTCAGTGACACTCACGAAGATCTTTTCTATGAGCAGACTTTAAATAATTATCTAATCCTTTCAGTTAAAAGGATAGAGACGGGGTACAGTTCTAGGAAAGATGATGTGCTACCCAAAAACTCGCATCCAATCTGATCAAGCACTGGCTGGATGGACGGTCCCAGAGTGGTCATCAATGGAGCTAAATCCAGTTGGTGGTCAGTCACAAGTAGTGTTCCTCAGGGCTCAGTGTTGGGACCATTTCTGTTTAACATCTTTACTGATGATCTTGATAAGGACATAGAGTGTATCATCAGTAAGTTCACAGATGACACCAAGTTAAGCAGGAGTGTTGATCTGCATCAAGATAGGGAGGCTCTATAGAGAAACTTGGATAGATTGGATCGGTGGGCCAATGTTAATTGGATGAGCTTCAACAAGGCCAAGTGACAGGTCCTGCACTTGGGCCACAACAACCCCGTGCATCGCTACAGGCTTGGGGAAGTGTGGCTGGAGAGCTGTCCGGAAGAAAAGGATCTGGGGGTTCTAATTGACAAGCAGCAGAACACAAGCCAACAGTGTGCCCAGGTGGCCAAGAAAGCCAATGGCATCCTGGCCTGTATTAGAAATAGTGTGACCAGCAGAAGTAGGGAGGTGATAGTCCCCCTGCACTCTGCACTGGTGAGGCCACACCTGGAGTATTGTGTCCGGTTTGGGGCACCTCAATACAAGAGAGACATCAAGGTGCTGGAGCGAGTGCAGAGGAGGGCAACGAAGCTGGTGAAGGGCCTGGAGAACAAATCCTATGAGGAGTGACTGAAGGAGCTGGGACTGTTTAGTGTGAGGAAGAGAAGGCTGAGGGGAGACCTCATCACTCTCTACAACTACCTGAAAGGACACTGTAGAGAGGTTGGTGCTGGTCTCTTCTCACAGGTAATTACTGACAGAACAGGAGGGAATGGCTTTAAACTACAACAGGGGAGGTTCAGAGTGAACATTAGGAAAAATTTTTTCACAGAGTGGTCAGACAGTGGAATAGGCTGCCCAGGGAGGTGGTGGAGTCACCATCCCTGGATGTGTTTAAGGGTAATTTAGATGAGATGTTGGGGGATATGGTATAGGGGAGAACTTTGTAGAGTAGGGCTGATGGTTGGACTCGATGATCCCAAGGGTCTTTTCCAACCTGAATGATTCTGTGATTCTGTGAGTTGGGGCTTAATATGAGCCAGCCAAGCTCAGAGACAATCTGGAAAGGCAGTTAATCCTCCTCCCCCAACTCATAAAAACTGTTTTTCACAACAGGATCCCCTATCTGAAAGCATCTGGTGTGATTCTGAAGCATCAACAATTCTGCTGAAGCAAAATTCAAAACCACATCAACTCACCCGAGATCTCTAATTCAGCCCAATGTGACTTCTTCCCGTTGGCTACCTCTTCTGCTGACATGATGGTGTAAATTCTGCGAGGATCTGGAGGATCATATTTTTCCTTTGGCATCCCTGTTAGTCTGAAAGACCATCACAACTATTACCATCTGCCACTTGACAACATTTCTTAATTTCTAGCCCAACAGGAGATTACCTTTCCCCGTGACACTCGGCAAAAACGCATGCCCTGGAGTTTATGTACAATAAATATTATGCTGACATCAGCCCAACTGCTCCCAGTGCGTGGAGCAAAGCAGGTGCTCAGACCTTTGCGGAATAGGGAACTGTAACGGAAAGGAGCATTTCTTCCTACAAAGTTTGGTTTTCTGCAGTCATCCGCAGCGTTACCTTGTACTGCCCTGATGCAGACTTTTGGATTTCCTAATTTATCCCCCAGACCAAAGCATAACCTACATCACTGCTGAGTTATTTGCTGTGTGCAGAACCTGCAGACAAGATGACAGCGTTTCGCTATTCACAGTGAAAGCACATGGATTGCTCCCTCCTGTAGTTTCCATACGACTGAAGGGAAGGCTGCTTTTCCAGCAAGTCAATACACAAAGTCCCACTTTTGCACTGCACTTATACAAGACTTGAAATTGCAGTCCGAAGGGGAATTAGCTCAATTTTTCCATTAACTATCTAGCTTTTCTGTTCTGTGCTTTTTCATGCTCAGTATCAGTCAAGACCTTTTAACTCCTAATGGCCTAGGAGACATAAAACGAGCTCAGGTAAAATTCTCATTAGCTGTTCTTGTGCATACAGGGCTTCAGCCCAGTCCAAAACTTTAACATCAGATGCACTCATGTCTTAAGGGTGAGCTTGTGCACACACAAATTCAACCGATCTCGTTTTCCAGATTCTTGTCAGAAGAGAGCTCAGATGTCCCGTGCAAAAAACACACTTTCCAGACAACACGGGTAGTTTTTCTCCACATCTCCCCAGACCATTGTGCTGAGAAAGACTGGAGAGGAGAGAGGGGTTGTCTGGTTTCAAAACATAAGGTTAGATGAATTTGCTGTTCACTAGTCTTTTCCTCCCCAGACACACAAAATACACAAACCTTGGTTTTATACAAATCCAAAGCAGCTGGTCTACAGGATGCACTTTTCCCCTCATATATACATCTCTACTACAACTGGCTGCAATAGCTGTGAAGATTTTAAAATAACTATAATTTGCTTGGTTTGCTGAACTGATGAGATAGAAAACTATGACGAATTTGAGGAAACTAGTTCAGGGTTTTTTTCAGCTACTCCAACTAAACAAAGATCATGTGCCCTTTATGAGCTTAAAGTACTGCAGTTTTTCCCAACTGATGCAGATAGTCAAAACAGCATTCTGGCACTGCACAGCAGCAGGAATTGTCACAGCTGTCCCCTACAAAGGGTCTTGGCTAGGAGTCTGGTGCTTTATTCCCTAATGAATGCCCAAGGAAATTCCATTCACACTGAATTAAGGCTCCCTGTTGCAAGTGCAAGGCAGATGCGAGCCCCATGTCTAATTATAGCCAACTTCTATTTACAGGTGAAGTCATACAGCAAGGAAGGCTACAGGTTAAGAGGATTCTGCACTCATACTGCTCAGCTGCAGCAATTCAGTTCGGGGCAGTGAATGAAACAGATTACCTAAGGACACGGAATTAGACCTGAAATCCTTCGATCCTCGTTTCAGAACTCCAACCTCAGGAATGATACTTCCCAACACAGCTAGAGTTACAGGCTATGTTTCAGGACTGCTAAATCTCCAGTGCTTGGGTTTTGCTGGATTTAACTTCATTGTTAAATAAGTGCATGTGCAGAAGCAGGGAGCAGCCCTGGCGCCAAAACCAGATTCCTCACAGCCCCTGCCGAGAGCCACAAGAGCCCTATTTCACCTTTCTTCTCGGGCATCCTTGCCCTTAGACGCGTATGAAACTAATCCACATTCCAGCGAGTCTCGACACAGCTCTTCCTGGATTTTGCTAGACCCCTGGAACCAACCAGAAACATCCAGCAGAGCTGTGAATCACTGCCGAGACAGGGGGCCAAGACCCAAGCTTTAGGAAAGCTTGCAGTCCCTGGCAGCTGCAGAGAGCATGGTCCCAGTCCCAATGCCTGCAAGGAAACACATTGCAACGCTACCGCACTTTGCATTAAAGCCTAATTGCCTCAATCAGCACCAAGTGTATTATCTAGCATACTACTCAATATAAATTTTACGTGCTATACACCCAAATAAAGACCACAGTCCTAGTGTTTCAGACACGGCATAAACAGAGTGAGCCTGTCTGGGCCAAAAAGCAGCAAGCTAGTTTTGCAGCAAGTAAAGCTGTCACACCACCATCACAGGATTACCTCGATGACCCTTTAATAGAAAACGAGATTTCACTACCTGGCAATATTTACTTCATCTGCAAGGCATACTACTGATTAGAAGGGAGAAACCTAAAAGCTGGGTGGTGAAAATCAAGCAGAATACCAACAAAGGATTAAGTGTTTATGCCTGAATGGAGGTTTTTTTTTATCTTTGTCTTAATCATCAAACATCTGAACTGACCCAGTATGGGTCTTCATTTTACTTTTTAATCTGTCGTATCTTAAAACAACTGTTACTTCTACCATATCTGGATAGGACATTGCAAACTTTGCTGTCAATACCCAGCCACCAGCATTTGCATAAGGGCTCTCTGAAACACGCTGTGCTTACAAGGTGTCTGCATTCCAGTTTTTTACAGCATAATATTATAGTAATATCAGTCCCAGGCAGAATTAAATTTCGGTTTCTGCATACTGCAACTCCTCCCTGCCCTGCATACTGCTGGCAAAAGCTTTGGCCACAGTTGCTTCCTATGGGCTTCTCAAGGTGCGTTTCCAGCTAAAAAAGCAAGTGGGAAATTATTTGTATTTCAGCTTGCTGTTTCATCGCAAGCCAGGCACAGATGACTAACAGCTCAGGAAGGCTCAGTCCAGCCAGGGGTTCTTGCTGTCACACGCACGTTGATTCAAAGTCTTGAAGCGACAGCGGTCTCCTCCAGCTGCTGAGCAGCCTTGCTGGAAACCAGAGCAGGACTTGCCATTCTCACTGCCAGACCCCAGCAGCTTTGCTCCTTGCAGTGGGGAAGAAATCAGACAAATATCCCAGGGCCTGGTGATAAAGTCTTTAAAACTGTGGTGGTTAGACCATCTGAGTCACCCCATAGTCACCCATACCTACCCACAGGCCAAGAGATGACCACTGACCGGGTGACACCATCAAAAAGCTTCAGGATTCCTCCTTGGCAGGGAACCCAATTAAATTATTTTGAAATATTGCTCGTTATGAGAAGTGCTCTGCCAATTTAAAGCAATTTGCAGCAGTCAGAGGCCCTCCAATGAAATGAGCCCTGATCTGCGAGTCAAACGACACGCACATTTTTCAGATATTAGTCACTTTAATATTATTTTGAAATAGTAGTGAGTCAAACAAGCATCAGTGCAATTTCCACAGTTACAGAAAAGGGAAAACAAACCTAAATCAAATACTTTTTTTTTTTTCTTCTGCGTAACAGCAACATTGAGCAAGACTTAAAAGCCACCACATGTATTTTTTTGAAGCAAAAATAAATCTGCCTGGGTTCTCAACTCCTATCGTTCCCATCTGCCCCTCAGCTTGTCCTGGAACTAAACTCGTATCCAAAAATCGCAACCAATTTTTGTTTGGTCTTCAAGGAGCTACACTGATTTCCCTGAGTCAGTTAACCCCAAAATTGGATGTGCATTAGCACTGTCAAAAGGAAAAAAGCAGGAAGACCCAGTCAGGGACATGAGAACTGAAGTAGAACTGATTTAGGTCAGCTTGAGCTGCTGCAGAGTTGCACCCTGCAGGTTAAAGCAAGGCCTTTGCTAAAATTCAGCTAACACAGGTATGACATGAGGAGAATATGTGAGCTCAGTTTCTTTGCTTTTCAAGTGTGACCAGAAAAATTTCTTGCTAGCTTTTCCTCTAAAGAGTTCCCTTGGAAAACTTTTGAAGCCACTAAAACTTGCTCTCACTACAAATCTAACCAAGTAAACTTAAATAGAATAACCCTGATATTGTGTAAATTAAAGAAGACCTGAATATGAGAACATCAGTGCAGTAGTATGAAAAATGTTTAAACTCTGAACAAACTTCAAAATCTGGGGGTTCCTAACAGTGTCGTGCTTATGTGCTCTTTGGCTACAAGTCCATCCTCAAAAACCTAGCAATGACTGGCATAGCAGTGAAACCCTACGTATGGTCCCAGGTGAACTTAAGCAGCTCTGGCTCAGCTGTATATAAAAAGGGCTACAGGGAGGTTATTTAGTTTGGCAGTGTTGCAAGCAGTAGGGTTGTGGCTGCCTTTTTTTGCACTCTTGTTTTTATATGCTGCTGTATCTGCTAGCTGTTGTGTAAGGGACATACTAAGCCAAAAAAGAGGAATAATGTAACAGTACTAAAAGTGCGGAGAGTGTCAAAGAAGAAAGTTTTGAGCTACCAAGCTGTGTCGCAGGCTTTTACTCTGAAGACACATTTTTTGGGGCAACAAACAACAGGAGCTTCTGCACACTTGGAGTTTCAGACAACCAGGTAATAACAGAAAAGGGTGCTGCTCTTCTAAACTATCTAAGATCTTCTCAAGTTAAACAGGTGTGGGGAATGTGACATAGGGAGGATATAGTTAGATATATGAAATGCAAACTGTTTTTTCTTAGGGAGAAGCTGAAGGCAGACCTACAGATTGCATCAATGTAACAAGAGAAAAAAGGATACTATGCTAGGGATTAAGAAATTTCTTAACTCATAGTGTTGTGTGGTTTTATGTATGGGTGGGGAAATCAACTGCAGCTGCAAACACACAAAATCTCTTCCATTACACAGCACATCTAAACACACCAAAGTAACTATTGCAGGGTTGCTATGAGAGACAAACTGCATTACTATCATTTTTATTAAAGTCAGATCTGTTCTTCTGAAGGCAAATATCCCCCACTGAGCAGAAGGATTAATGTATGTTCAGTGGAAAGAGAAAGCCTGCTCAAAGCTGTCCTGATTATTTGGCATCTATGTTACAGGAGGACTTTGAAGCCAGATAGGTCAA